TCTCTAACTCCTCCCCCTTCTCTTCACTGAAGCGCGTGTGCGTGTGTGTGTGTGTGTGTGCGTGTGTGGGGGGGGGGGGGGGGGGGGGGGGGGGGCGCGTCACTGCGTCCAAAACAAAACTTTGCAGCAATGACGGGGAATAGGAAGGAGACGCTAACAACAAGTTTGCACGCTGTCGCTGCGCTCCGGAGTTGACTTTCTCACGTATCCACCAATCAGGACACTGACAGTTTAAAGGTGGGCGTGGCCAACCTGATCACCCAGTGGGTAAAGGGCCAACCGGACGGCGGTCGACCTCCGCCGAGCCGAGCGGCGGTGAGTAGCGTGTCGCGGCGAGTGAGTCTCCAAAGTGAACAAAAGGGCGGCGACGGTGCTAATGCCTTTATGCTAAGCTAATTGCTAATTGCGTCTTCAGGATGTGAAGTGTGGAGATGTCATGCGCAAGAAGAACATGTGGGAGGTTATCGGAGACTCGTCGGGGAGGTCCCCCACAAACGTCAAGGTACGAAGACTAACGTGCGACCCGATCAATGTTGGACGTGCGCCGCATGTTTGTTGTTGTTGTCAGGGCGCGGCAGCCCCGAGTAAGACGTACACCTTTGTGGTGACCGGACACGGCAAGTACAAGAAGATCTCGTCGGACCAGGAACACGCCACGAACAGAAAGTCGGGTGAGAGAACTCACAGCCACGAGAAGCCCTTTTGCAAATGAGCAGAAATCTCTCGTCTTTGGTACATTTAAATTGTCAAACTTTTGACTGGAATGAAAGGTCAGCTGCCATGTGAAGAGATGCCCTTCACCCTTGAAGCGGGCTCTTCTTTCTGCCCCCAAATCATTCAGACATTCAGAAAAGAAAAAAAAACGAATCCTTTCAAAATCTCACCTCTTATCTGTTTGGAGATTTGAACTCCCATTTCACAAAAATTGGCCCCAGCAGAAACGTATTTGCCTGACTGGTTTATTTGGAAAATCCGTCAGGAAGTGAAAGTGGAGAGTCAGATTAAAATTAGATCAGGTTTAGATTTTAAAAATTAAGACGAGTCCACACATGTACACCCCCCCCCCAAAAAAAAAGCATGCTGGGGGGTGAGGGCGGGGGGGGGGGCGTAACATGGCGACATTTTGGCTGTCCCGTGATTCGACTTTTCAACTTTATGCGATGGCCTTCCTTTTTCATGACATTCTGTTGACGCAAAGTTCTTCTCCTAGAATCGGTTCAGTCTAATCTAGAACACAACAAAGTCAACAAATTGTAAACGTTGGGATTCGCGTTTTATGACACGCTCTGAAGCATCCAAATCCAAGCATGACATTTCCGGAAGCAAGTAGCACCCTGGTGAACAGCAAAGACCACCAAAGGAAGAGTTGGAAGAAACGTCGAGGAGCTCAAACATCAAAGCTTTTAATAACACAGGACAAACGAGGCGCTGACGTCAAGTCCACAAACGAGGCCAACCGGGCCCCGGTGACGACGTGAGGCCCCGTGATGACGAAGCCCAGCCCACACGCGCGCAAACTTTTCGTCGGCCAACATCTCCCGAAACATCCACGTGCCCTTCTGGCTCCTTATGAGAAGCCGAAGCCTCGGGCCGTTCGGTTAAAGTCTTTGGGTTCGTCGTCTTTCGCCTTGCGTCCGATCAGACCCATCTCGAACACGGTGGAGAACTTGGTGAGGGGTCTGGACGCCGCCTCCTTCAGCTTCTTGGCGTCAAACTTGGGGCTGAAGAGCAAGATGGGCAGGCGGTAGGCAAAGGACGGGATTTCCTTGGCCTCGTTCTTGGTCTCGTCCTCGTCCTTCTTGCCCTCCGTCCTCCGCTGCTCGTCCTTCTTCTTCAGCTCGATCTGGTGCATGATGTTCTCCTTGCTGGAGAACATCTGGAAGAGGACGGCGTCCCACATCTTGGTGGCTTTCGGGGGAGCGGAGCCGGCGGCGTGAGTCCCCCGGCTCTGGTCCTGGTCCTGGCCCGCTCCGTCCGTCGGTGGAAACAAAGGCTCCTCCTGCTCCACTACCATGTGCTTCTTCAGTCTGGACCAGCCGCTCATTTTGGATTTCAGTGCCCCCGCCTTCTGGACATCTGCAGGTTTTCCGGCCTTGTCGTCCTGGTCTTGACTTTGGGCGGATTTTGCTTTTGCCTTCTCACCCTCGGGGACTTTCAGCGGCTCGTCAGCATTTGGCCGCAGGACCTCCTCTTTGCCAAGAAGCTTTCTGACTGCCTTCAGAGGGTCTTTACCGGGCGGGGGAGGAGCTTGTTTGGCCACAGGAGGTTTTTGCACGTCCATCTTCTGGCGTACGGGAGATCTGGCGTCCGCGGTTGGAAGTTCGTCCTTTGGTGTTTCCCGGATCTGTTGTTGTTGTTGTTGTTTCTCTGGTAGCGTTGGAGGGACCATCTTTGGTGTTACGACAGAGGGTTTGGGTGTCTGAGAAACAACAATCAGGGGAATTGTTGGGGTGGCAGAGACCTTGTCCTCAGCTTTAGGGTTTTCTTTGACTTCTGCAACGATCAGTTCTCGGGTTTTACTCGGGGCGGCTGCGATCTCATCCGAGGCTACGTCTTGAGACCCTGTCATTCCGAAGGCCGGTGTGTGTGTTCTGATTCCACCATAAGCGGCGTACTCTCCAGGCATCAGTCCGCGGTAGGCGGACTTGCTTCTGGGCCCCACTAGAGTTGGGGTCTTTGACCTCTGGAAGGACGAAAGTCCAGCATGGGGGGAGATCCCATATGTGGGAGTTCTTGGTCTTTTAAAAGCCGGAGATGAGCTGATCAACCGGGACGCCTCGTAGGTTGGAGTTTTAGGCCTCTGATACCCAAAGGACGTCCCTGCGGATGTTAGCTCGGCCGTTGGAGTCCTGGTAAGATCGGATTCGGATTTGGACTTTGTGATCATCTGTGGGAAGCTTGCGTGGACCTCTGCATTCAGAACCGTCGCAATCTCGGGAGTCTTGGCTCTCATGTTGGGGGTTCCGGACCTCTCTGGCTCCATCGTCACTGGTGACACCGCAAACAAGAGAGGGTTGGGTTTGGAAATCTCAAAGACTGGCGTCGCAGCACGCTTCGCCGGGGTTCTCGGACGCCCCGCGAGGCACCTCGGTGATTGCGTTTCCCGGGTCGGCGTTTTGTCTCCTATGTCCAACGTGGGCGTGGCTCTCCTTATCTCGATGGTTGGAGCCACCGCGACGTTTCTCTCAACTTTTGCCGTTTGGCTTCTCACATCTGCGGTTGGTGTTTTTGATTGCGCTTCCGAGGTGACGAAACGATTTGGGGTGACGGACCTCCCGGCTTGAAAAGCTGGACTTGCCTCTCGGTTGCTTTCCGTGGTGACAGTGCTGCCGATGGCGCTGAGGACGACTGTGTCGTAGTCGGGCGGCGTCCTGGATGTCTCATAGTAGGACGTATTGGCCGTGTACAGGCGGATTTGGGGGACCTCAAACATAGACTTGGGAGATTTCGGAGGCTCGGTGGCTTTGAATGTTGGACGAGGACTTTTGGGCTTGATGAACTGAGTTAGCACCGTGAGAGGCCTAGTCAAAGCCTGAGCCGCCGGCGGCGGATAGGAGGTTGGATTGGGGCTGGCTGCTTTCGGCCGGGTTGGCGGGGCTACAGCCAGTCTGGGAGCTTCTGGAAAGGGACTCCAATCTGGGGTTTTCAACGCTGCAGGAGGAACGCTCAGCTGAGGCAAGGGAGAAGGTCGCCGAGCGATGACCGAGGGCATCGGCCGGTCGGGCCCCGGCTGGACAGGCGCCATTGGCGGGGGCGCCGCTCGGTGCAGCGAACTTGAGTAGAGTATCGCAGCGCCGCCGCCGTGCTGCGGGTGCGGCGGCAAGGCGAGCGGCTGAGGCGAGAACCTGCCCGCTCGAGAGAAGGCCGCCCGCCGCGGGTACGGCGAGGCCACATGCTGATAGAGCGGCCGAGCGGCGAAGCGGGACGACGGCCGGGCGGCGTAGAAGCCGTAGGACGCCTCGGGGGTTTTGGGTGGCGTGGAGTGTTCGCTGCGCTCGAGGTCGGGGCTGGCTTCGTCGACGGGGGAGAGGCTGGAACGGAACGGGGCAGCCGCCTGCGACGCCGCCTGCCCGGACGTCTTCTTTTTGGCGTTGCGCTTCAGCAGCTTCTGGAGACGCGCATTGTCTTTGCCGGGCTTGGGGAACAAAGGGGGCGGGTACGGAAGGGGAAAGAATCCGGCCGGGATGGCTGCTCCGTAAGCGACTGCCATGAGCACCTGGACCTCCTGAAGACCACACCGCAACGTGGATCAGACTCAGAACACCCGGATAACACAAACGGAATGAGCAGAGCTTGCGAAAGTCAACAGCAATCAACTTGTAGTTTCAGGCTTGAAAACGTCTCCCACTTTCCAACCTTTTTCTCGACATCTTCGATGGTTTTGAGGTTGTCACTGAATGGAAGCGATTGTTGGTTTTAAGATGTTTTTTTTTTTCTTCTTCTTGAGGTTCAAAATACAAAATGGGTCCAATTTGATGCCAGCAAAAAAAAAATGAACCGAGTATAGTGACAGTCAATCTTTTTTTTTTTTTTTTTTCCAGATTTGTGTCCAAATGAATACTGACACACACGGTGGCCTTTTGTGCAGCTCGGCCACGCCCGACGCGGCAAAACTTTATTGAACATCACGGACAGTCGAAGTTGCTCCGTGACCGCTTGAGCATCTGCTGACACCGGCCCAGTCAGGAGCACGTTCATCGATTTCTTGGATGACGTCGTCGGACCTGGACAATCAATTCCTGTTTGCAATTTGCTGTCCGTGGTTACCTTGCAATCACCGAGGCCTTGTGCTTGTATGACTTTGTACCATCGATTTTTTTTTTCTTTTAATACAACAATGATCCTGTACGATTGACTTATCGCTTCCAAAATTGTCTATTTTTGAGGTTGACGTCATATATCGTCCAGTTAAAACGTCGCATTTTTTGGAAATTGTAATTTGACAGGAATCATATGTATATATATTTTTAGGTGGCAGTCGTCGATATGACCAATAAAAAGGATTCAATTTTCAAGACAGGGGGGTGGATTTTTTTTTTGTTTGTTTGTTTTTCATAGATTCTGTCATTTACGCACCTCCACATCAGATGCAATTTTGATTTCGTACATATCGCAAAAAAGTTTGAACACGATCAATTAAGTTTCATTTTAGGACGTAAAACCCATTTCTGTCTGAAATGTTTTTTGGGTGTTTCTTTGCTGATTGCGGTAGTCAAACTTTTGTTTTCACACGCTAAAAAAACGGCGTCTTAAAAATGTGAACGTGAAAACAAACGAATTACGCGATGGCGTGATATTCCACTTTTTAGTTTTTTGCAATACGGCCACCATACGCTTCCGCAGAACTTCATCCACGTGTTTTCATAAGTCGAACAACTGGATTCCTTTTCCACGTTTCAAGAGACCCACAAAAATCGGGACTCAACTCTTCAAAACATTTTGATTTCCGTTGATTCGTCCCTAACTTGTCATTGGATTATTGGGGAGTTTTCCTGTTGTCAATCAGTTTGACAAGTGTGACTGAATTGGAGCAAAAATTCCATCGATGTATTTTTTTGAAGACAATTTTTTGAACCAGTGCACCGATAATTAGGCTGGCTGCCATTCCTTCAGCGCTAACGGACAAATGCGAGGCTTATTGATTTTCTTGCCGTGGCACACCAGGCCCATTTACAGTACAGAATGTGTGTATTTATACTCGCGCATGTGCCCAGATTCAAAAATAGCTGGCGGTCATGAGACCGATGACGTCACACCCGCCTGACAGCCGATTGGCCGCCACCGAGCGCGGCCAATTGCAGCACAAGTCAGGAAGGACTTGGAATCGTTTCAAAAGCTGAAAAGCCTCAAGAATCGGCTCTCGCTAATTGGTGCAATGTAGGCCAGTGATTTGATCCCCCAACACACTCACCTTCTGTCCTCCCCCTCCCTGTTTAAAAGACGAGACCTCCCCCTCCCTCCCCCTTTTAAGGCACTGGAGGGTTGGCGTCAAAAGTGGAAAGAGTAATTATAGCCGAATTATAAAAGCTGTCATGGTCCACAATGACCGAAACCCCCCAAAAAACCCAAAAGGACCCTGACAACCCCCCCCC